CAGTCGAGGACGCTTGTAATTCCACAGACTTAATCTTAACAAAAACAGAGAGCCCTTGTCTCAACAGTAGGGCTGTGGGAGGCCAGGTTGGAGCACAGCCGCAGGTTTCCCCTCCTCCCCCATCCATGTCAACCACACCAATATGAGGCAGGAGGGTATATGTAATAAATAATGACCATGTTTGTCCCATTCAAACGCCTCCTTGTGGCTGGTCAAAGAAGCCATTGGCACTCAACCTCTTGGCCCTATGTGATGTGTACACTGTAAAAGTGACGATGCAAGGAAAAATGGAATTTTAATGTATAATCCTCAAGGAAAATAATATATTATAGTTTTAAAGCCTTGTCTTTTTCATAGGATCATAGAAATTGTAATAATCCTTGTGTTTGATATAGTGCCTTTTGTATGCCAAGAACGTCTCAAAGCCCTTCACAAGATTTATTGTATAGTGTAGTGACTGTATTTGGAGGCGAACACGGCAGCCAATTTACACATAGCAATGTACCACAAACAGTCATGAAGTGAATTGTGAATATTACCTGTAGGATTATTGCCCAAGACATCTGGAGAACCTTCCTTCTCTTTTTGAACAGTGCCATGGGATATTTACCATCTTGTTAACAGACAGATGGGACCTTGGTTTAACACTTGTTCTGAACAACAGCACCAGTGACAATGCAGGGCTTCCCCCAGCACTGCACTGGAGTGTCAGTATAAACTAGGAGTTCAAAGTCACAATATGGGGCTTGAACCCACAACCTTCTGACTCTGAGGCAAGAGCGCTACTAATTGAGCCAGTCTGATGCTTGAGTCAGGCTGACAAGTAAAATTGTCGTTTAGAAGGAGACCGTCCTTTGGATAAGGCAGAGACCCAAACGTCTGCCAGTTCGGGTAGACGTTAAAGATCCTGCGGGACTACTCAAAAAGAGAAGGGAGATTCTCCCAACAAACCCTCAAATAAAATTGGTCATTCACATCTTTGCTATTTGTGGCACATTGTTGTGCGCAAATTTGTTGCCCTGTTTGCAGTAAAATCTGTGAAGTACTTTGAGACATTTTCCGGATTTGATGGATGCTGTATCAAATGTAAGGCTTATTTATGTGTATATTGGATCGAAAATCCTTAGCTATGAACAAAGCAAAATAACAGAGGGAACCTCGTAATGGTTTACCTTCCCCCCACCCCACCCCCGGCCCCATTGAGAGCATGGTTTGATTGGAAAAGGAAGTGGGTTGACACATGGTAACTGAATGCTGGGAAAGGTGACTTTCCCTTGCCTCATAAAGGAGCCCTTTAACACAGCTGGGTTGAATCAGTCAGTACTTACAGTAACACGGGATAAAGTTCAAGCAGAGACCCAGACTTGCTTCATCTGGTAATGTTTCTTTACAGACAAACTAATAATTCTTCAGATTAAGTACCCTTGTTTTGAATGCGTTTGAGGAGTAGGGCTGAGCCCCTCACAGTCACTGTGTCTTTATCCCCCAGACATCTGAAGCACTAAAATGTAAGGATCAAAGTTGCATGTGAGGTTTACATGTTATTTGTTCCCATCTTTACTGATGTCTGTCTGATCCAGTATTTCCCAGAGCTTCTCCATTCCCAGAGTGGCTTTCCCATGCCTGTCTTAATCCAATGATATATCCTCCGCCAATGGTTGTGAATGAACTTCAGCACTAAGTCACGCATTCAAGTCACGAGTTCCGATTCTGCTCTGTGCTGAGTTAAGTGATGGGACGACTTGAGGCAGAAGTTAGATCTGCAGTGGGTGAGGGAGAAGAAATTTAAGCGAGAGGACCTCGGTTCGATTCCTGGGCAGGACAAAACCTTAGGCACGTTTGTAGGAACTCGGTTGTTAATCGATTGGTGGATTGTTTTTCCAGGGATAATAATCTCTTTTAAAAAATTTGGTCACTCAATCCACTGTTTGTGGGGCACTGCTGTGCGCACTTGGCTGCTGCGTTTCACCCACAAAATATACAGTCAATTCACTTTACAGTATATTCTGTGAAGTGCTTTGAGACACCTCGAAGATGTGATAAGGCCCTATGTCAAATGCAAGGATTATTATGATTTACCCAACGTAACTGCTCCAATTATCGAGAAGCCCCTCCTGGAAGGAACATTTGTGTAGACATGAGATGAGGACAGAATCAAATCGGATGTGATCTCTCTGTGCCACCTGAACTTGGGCGATGTCTTGTGGAACTGCACCTTGGTAGAAAGGAAAACAAACACCTTTGAGAAAGGAGAGAATATTGACGATTTAAGAACTGATTTTTTTAGTAACCTTTTTTGTCTCTTGCACCAGTGTAAAATGAAATGATTCTAAGAACTCTCGCTTTATAACTTTGAAGTTCCACAACTTTTTACAGCATGTTTAACATTATAATACCCTGAGAATGTGATTGATACACTTTGTGTTTTAATAGCTCTGGATCTCAGACTGGAAGAAAGCCACAAATGTGGGTTTCACTGTCATTATAAGTTGCATCCAAGCCAAGATGATGTCATGAGCACATGCTCAGCATTTTGTCAAGTGCTGCAGGTGATAGCATTTAGAAGCTGGTTGGTGATAAACAGCTGGGCAGTTCCAGACATGGCAGATCACCCCAACCTAATGCTTAAAGCGATGCACTCTTAGAATAATTTATCACACAAAGGATAGTGGAAATCTGGAACTCTCTCCACCCAAAAGGTTGTGGATGCTGAATCGATTCAAATTTGCAAGACTGATTTTTGATATGTAAGGGTATCAATAGATATGAAGCAAAGGCAAGTGAATGGAGGTACAGATCAACCATGATCTAGTAGAATGGTGGAACAGACTTGAGGGCTGAATGACCTCCTCTTGTTCCTATCTTCCTAGCACTCTGAGACACCATCCGGCGTGGAAGGCACTATATAAATCCAAGTTGTTGTTGTCCCTAATGTTTTGAACCATCTGCAGCGAGGAGAGAAAGAGCGAAAGAGAGAGAGACATGATCCTGAGTGAATCCTGTACATTTTCTTTGCTGAATACTTTGACATAGATTCATTGCAAATTGTAAGGCCTCAGCTCGTTGCTAAAAGTGAAAGGTACATCAACAAACAACAACAATTTACATTTTTATGAGTAGCTTTCACATTGGGGCGACTTCTCAAAGCACTTCACATAGCTTTCTGGTTACCAGAGCTTGGGGGAGAGGGGGAGAGGAGAATGGTGACCAAAAGTCTGATCAAAGAGATAATAATAATCCTTGCATTGATATAGCACCTTATCACGTCATTGAGACATCTCAAAGCGCTTCACAGAATATTCTGCAAAGTGAATTGACTGTATATTTATGTGGGCGAAGATAGGCCCTCTTAAGGCATTTGTTGGTGTAGGGAGGGAGGGGGCAAGGTGAAGGGATTCCGGGATGGAGTTCCAAAAAGGGGAGGCAGAGTGGCAGAGGTTGCATACCAATGGTGGGGAAGGGCACAGCAGGCAGGGGAAACAGGGCAGTTCTCAAGTCAAATACAACACTGATTAGGACAGAGTAATACTGGGTTTTACATATTATGTTAAGAACATCTGACTCCATTTTAGAGACTAATTATTTTGAATTCTAATTTAGTCTAGGCACCCCGATGGGCAAAGCAGTCCTGAGGCAGGTGAGATCGCTGCCTCAATAATTATATTGTTTTCAGTGAGTTCAATTAAAATGATTCATTCTTCATTCTCAGCATCTTTCATGTATCAGAGCCCATAACAACATTTAAAGGCAATTGGATAAATACTTAGAAGACAACTACTGTAATACTAAAGAGAAGGAACAGGGGAATGGGGTTCAGAATTGATAACTCAAATAGAAATAATACCAGCGCTAACGTAATGGTTTGAATGGCTTCTTTCAGTGCTATAAATGCTCTGATTCACGATGGGGAGGGAACAGAAAATTTGGCAAGGGTAAAACATTACCTTTTGGCAGAATATTACTTTTTGCCTACAAATACGCAGTCACTATGTTTTACTGTGTATGCTGTGAATTGCTTTGAGACACCGTCTCAACATGAAAAGCACTATATCAAATTCACAATTATTTCAACTTCCTGGCACCACTTTTATTTTTTACTATAAATCCAATCTGGAACTGCTCTTTACTATTGTAGCTTATATAAATTATATTTTTTACTGCTTGATACTCACCTGCAGGGAGACAAAACCTGGCCTGGGCCCAAGTAACTCCCAATTCCTATTTGGATCGTCTAGTCTGATTCACATAGTAGAGCCTGAACTGTAATACCGTACAATACTGTAGGGGGTGGTGGGGTTGACCGTAAAGACGTTAAACTGAGGCCCTTGTCTGCCTCAGTTTAACGTCTTTCAGTTGGACACTAAAGGTTCCATGGTACTATTCGAAAAAAGAAGGGAATTTTTCCCAGTGTTCTGGCCAATCACTATGTGCAATTGGTTGCCATGTTTCGCCCACAAAATACACAGTCAATCCACTTTACATTCTCAAGGTGATAAAGCGCTATACCATATGCAAGGATTATTATTAATAATAAATCCTCCAAACAAAAGTAAAGCGCCTTGAGACGGGATTGGTATTTTTATGTACACTGGATATCGTACAGATCAACATTTGCTTTTATGATGTTTTGAAGAGTAAACAAAGTGTACTTTGGCCTCCCGCACGTCCCCCGCCTTGCCCGCTTCACCATTTGACGGGTGGGTCTTCTGCCACTCTGCCCCTAGCTTCTGGAACTCCATTCCACAGTTATCCGCCTCGCCCCGTCCCTTGCCTCCTTCAAGACCCCATCTCAAGATCCTCCTCTTCAAAAGTGCTTTCGATCACCCTGCTTCGCCCCATGCTCCAACCTCCCCAATCCCGACCCTCAGCTCGGATCCGAAACACTGACTGTCCAGTGCCTTGGGACGTCCTCCCAATGTGAAAGGCGCTACACAATGTAATTTTGTTGCTGTTGTACTGTACATCTTTAATACAAATAATTTTACTTTTGATTGTTGTAGAGCAAGCTGATCGCTGGTAGAATCATCCCAGCCATTGCCACCACCACAGCAGCAATCGTTGGCCTGGTCTGTCTGGAACTCTACAAGGTCGTGCAGGGTCACAGGTCAAAGACCTCCTACAGGAACGGCTTCATCAACCTGGCTGTCTCTCTCTTTGCTTTTTCGGAACCTGTCCTTGCTCGCAAGATGAAGGTAAGTAAGTGTGCCAGATTGAGGCTGTGTAACCCCAAGGCTGAAGTGTGACTTTCACCTCACCATCTGTTGCAGTGCATAAATGCAGCTAACTATAATGGGCCTCAGAAAGCTAATTCTAACACCTTCAGGAAGAGAATGGGGTCTTGGTTTTTTTAAATCCAATTTCACTTTGGGATCGTTCATAATTAAACATTGTGAACTCCAACTGTGGCTAGTTTAAGAACCATTCTAATTTTCATTACAGACAATATGTGGCCATATCATTGGGACTGTACGGTATGTCAGCATCCTTTCAGTGGCCGTGGTCTCAGACAATGACTTGAGTAAGTTCAGGCAATGGTTTACACAGGACATCCTAAGCCCAAAATAGGTATGAACTAGGTCAGGAGAAGGGAGTTGATGTAAGTTGCTATACATGTGCACTCCAATACAATTGGCCAAGTGCTACCAATTGAGCCAGGCCAACAGCAGGATTTACATGCTACACTGATGTGGAGGATGTGAATACTGTCAGCGCAGTAGCATTATATTCCATTTGGTGTAATGTTCAGATTTTGGGCCGAAAAATATGGGCATTTAGTTATTGAAAGATGAATCTTCATGATCGAGAGAATAGTGGTTTAATGGACGATTGTGGCCAGTGCTTTCAATCGTGAAAATGACTAGTACAGCTGAAATATAGTTGAAGCTTGCATACAGTGATTTATTGAATGTTAATACAAGTTAAATGGTGCAGATTAAATCTAGCTCCACTTGATCTACTCTGGAAAGTGTGTTTAGATTATGGTAACCAATTATGATAACAGTTTACCAGGACAGAGCAAAACTCTGACAAACAACAACAACAACAAGATTCCATTTATAGAGCGCCTTTCACGTCAGGAGGACGTCCCAAGGCGCTAAAAGTTCACCGCATGTGTCCAGATGGGACATCCCTAACCTGCTTACCACATCACCCCATCCACGGAAGGGCAGACCAGTCACTGGGGGCAGGGAATCATCCCACTCAGCACCTGTTTCCCTGCAAGCTACATCCTAACGGATAGGGTCGTCCTAGCTGGACAAGGAGCAGGAAAGCTTGCCAAATAGTGTTATCAATGGCAAGCTATGCAGTTTTAGCTGGTCGGACTCCAGCAGCACTTCAATGCACATTCTAGGGTCCCCAAGCCTTGGCTCTTGCCAACCTTCGCCTAATACTTTCCGAGATTAGGTAAGCAGGATGTGCCCCATTGTATTTACTGCACTATCTGGTTTTCTTTCTATGGGAATCCCTGTTGCCTAGATTCCATTAGCACATCTCGATGTCAAACATAGTAGATTGGGGGTAGAGACTGAATGAAGGGATTAAGTTGAAGTCATTGATGCAGTGAAGAACATCATTAATAAAGATCAGTTCTCATCAGGAGTTCATTTAGTTAAAAGTGTGAGCACTCCACTGGTTATGAGAGAGCTTCTTATGGGATCGTGGCAAAGCTTACTGTAATGTGAGATTTATCACCAGTTTGCAATATCAAAGTGTGCGGCAAGTAAAGAGAGTTTATACAGCAGGAATGTGTGGACGAGGGTCAGAGTACTTGGAGGGGCTCAGAAATCAGAATGCTATAAGCAGCAGAAATGTATTTATTTATCAATGAGTTTGTTCCAGGCAGGAATGATCAGTGCCCTTTGTGATTATAGTATGTATATCTTCACTTTTATATTGCTCTCTTCTTTTGCAAGTGATGATCCTTAATCTCTGATTTACTTAAATGCACCAAAGAACCCTTTCTGAATGGAATTTTTGGATTGGGCTGCACACAGTTCAAATGTTAACTTTTGCAAAGCAACAGATGGATTCTGTCTCCCTAAAGATCTTAAATGTGTTTTCAAACTTCGGGTGCATATGTCTACATTCTAGATGTAATCTGATGGTACAAGAAATGCAAGGTTCCATTACCCATGTTGGTGTCTAAGTAATGTTGGAACTGATCCTCTGACCACTGACGGTGCAACTTGACACCCATCTGTTAACTGCTCCGTGTCCCAGGTAACTTGTGATCCATCTGTTGGACAAGAAGAGCAGAGGGAGCAGCGAGCTGTGCACAGCTGTGTCTTCTCCTGATAATATCACGTTAATACATCTGTGCAGGATCATTTGAGGCTAATTTTGAGGTAAACTGACTGGATTTACAGATGGCAGTAATGTGTCTGCCTCTCATTCCACCCACAACCCCGTGAGGAAAGTGTCAAGCTTACAGATGCTTTTTTTTTTGGTCAGCCGGGTGTCTGACACATATGGAAACCCATCCCCAAGCTTAAGAGTATCCAAATCAATCTGAGAATTCCATGCATCCCACCTGCACATGGAAATCCCAGAGAGATTGTTGGAATGGAATAAGCACTCTTTCCCTGGAGGGATGTATCCTGCTTACCTAGTTCTGGAAAGTATTAGGCGCAGGTTGGCAAGAGCAAAGGCTTGGGGACCCTAGAGTGTGCTGGAGTCTTATACTACTATGTTCATTATTTCTCCTGAAAAAGACAGTTCAATGATGGCATTTATTTCAACACTTCTCTGTTGCATCGCTTAAACTACCTTTCTTTGCATAGGATCTTTGGCAGTGAGCCTTTGCAGAGCATTTTCAAGTCTGCTTCCTCTTGCTCAACATCCGCACTTGTTCATTTCAACTCAAGTCACCGTATAGTGACTAAGAGCAAGAACACGGTTGATATTTCCTCTTCCATGTGCGATTAGCAGTGATTAGCCAATTGCAAGCTCTCACATGTTGGAGATTAGCTAACCATCAAACTTCTGATCCGTAATGGCTTGGAGCAATGCCACTGGACCATTGGGAGCATAAAATGTTTATTTTTTCTGAAACTAATTTGTTGTATTAAATTAAACGTTCCGCTTTAATCGAAGCACCAATCAGGTCCAGGTGGCTATGGCTTTTCCTGTAACACACAGGAAGCCAACTGGTCAACGATGACCTCTCGCAAACATTTCCAGTGATTGCCAGGAAGCTACTGATACTGGGACGCATAGGAAATTGGCCAGTTAATAATAATAATAACCTTGCATTTGATATAGCGCATTATCATGTCATCGAGACATTTCAAAGCGCTTCACAAGATATACTGTAAAGTGATTTGACAACGCATTTTGTGAGCGAAATGCGGCAGTCAGTATGCGCACAGCAGTGTCCCACAAACAGGCATGGAGTAGGCGACTAATTTTATTTGGGGGATTGGTGGCTACGACTCCAGGAGAAAGAATGTCTCTCCTCTTTTCGAATAGTGCCATGGGATCTTTTACCATCCACCTGAACAGGCAGACGGGACCTCAGTTTAACATCTCATCTGAAGGACGGCACCTCTGACAATGCAACAAGGGTCATCTTGCAAATCACTGTATTGGAGTGTTAGGTTAGACTATGTGATTCCAATTCCCGAAGTGGGGCTTGAACCCACAATCTTCTGACTTGTACCGCTGGAAATGTACTATACTTGCTGTATACCATATGGAATTCAATCCACTTCCCCACCCATCCCCAAATACTCGATCCGTGACTGCATTCAATTCGATCTGCACGTCATTCTCCTGTGCTATAAAAATACCAACGCACATTATAAGAAGGTACAACTGTATTTTGAGGAAGGCTGGAGATCTCATGAGTTGCCAGAGGGCCGGTGAATATAATAATTCCTGCTAACCTTATGGGTGTGCAGCGTCACTATTACACTTGTTCTGCGCTCCAGTTCAGATTAAGCCGGTTCAAAACTTCCTTTACACACCGATTGATTTGCAAGGTGATCCACCCACAGGGCTTGATCCACACATCACCACAGCAACAGTGAACATTCCAACTGTACATTCAGGAATTCTTTCTTGTCCATACAGATACAAATTATGTATCATTCTCACTTTTAGTCAGTCAGATTTCAGCATCAGTAAAGCCTACTAATTTGCCTCCTTGCTTTACCGTGTCCCAGACCCAACCCAAGTGACTACATGCTAGATCTATGCGTGGTCATTTTCAACCTCTTAGAGGCAATTGTGCCCTACCCTTGAGAAACTGTAAAATGCAACCAAGGTGATACAGTAGCTAATAATAATAATAATCATCCTTGCATTTGATATAGCGACTTATCACGTCTTTGAGACGTCTCAAAGCACTTCACAGAATATACTGTAAAGTGAATTGACTGTATATTTTTTGGGCCAAAACGCGACAGCCAATTGCGCACAGCAGTGTCCCACAAACAGTCGTGGATTGAAGAAAAGCGATTTGCCAATTGTCTAAAAAACAGGTTCCTACTTACTGCTAGGTAAACAGAGGCGTGTAGAGTAAGGGAACCTGCCCAACATTTCGCCCTGCTGGGAATAGAACCCAGATCTCTCGCTTGTGAGGCGAGTGCTCTAACCACTGAGCTACAGGACTCCACAAGATGGTCATCTAGTTCATAAATTAACATAGAAAAAAAACATTAGAAATTAGGTAATCAGGCGTTGGATGCGACCAGATAATTTCTAAATACACGTTACGAGGATATGGCCATAGTTGATGTTTCATTGCACATTAATTATTCTCATGTTGTACATCCTGCTCCAGAGGGACACTCAAATCTTTCAATTCTACTTTACTGAATTGTGTTCAAATCATATCTCATAGTGTAGAATCCCATTTCATGCCAATTTTATAATATTCCAGTGATTCGATCCCTCTCTGTGAACTCCCATTGTGTCGAACTCCTCTGGAGTTAATACCAAGTGAGCTAGTTTAATCCACTGGTAATTTTCATTCAAAGGTGACATGTCATTTCTGTGAAACTATTTTTTTTACTGAATCACAGTATGAATCACAAAGGGACAGTGAGTTCTCTTTCCCTTCCTGAATAATACAGGAACTCCCAAGTTACTGAACATTTTCTGCAAAGTTGTTTGTTCTGTCTTTATCAGGAATCAACCTTTTTTAAAAAAATATGAATCTTTCGACCTTAGTGTGCCAAACCAGACATTT